GGCTGTGCGCATTTTTTCATGCCCGACACTGCATCGATTGTGTTGGCGGGATATTGAAGTGGATCTGTTTAAGAAATGGGGCCCGTGATACAAGCACTGCCTCTGGCAAAAAGGCTTCATGTAAGTTTCAAGAGCTTACGAAGAGGTGGAAAGACGCGCAGCCGCTTATTCTACGGTGTACGGAGAAGTCGGGCGGTGGGACATATGACGGAGACACGTGGGCGGAGAAGGTGAAGAAAAGCCCCGAGCTGGCAGGCTTTGCATGTAGTGGAGTACTGCTATTGTGGCAGTATTCCACCACAGGATTCGATGCGGGTTGGTTTAATCCGACGTCATCGATGATGTCAAAACGTTTAATAGATTAGCATGCATATCTTGTTGTAGAGCGGGAATAAAAGAGGCTAGCATTTCACCCGCTTGGCTACGAAGGCCATTTAAGCTTAAGGTTTGTAATGCTTTTGTAGTGATAAGGGAATCTTGTTGTGGCACTCCACAACACTCTCCCCTCGTTAAAAGGAAGAAGCTTAATGCTCAACCGAGCGAACGTAAGTCCTCGTCGCAGACGGTCACCGCGAAGACTATGAGTGTGGCGGTAACCTTTCTCAAGGAACCGCAGCGCACTCGTCATTCGCAAGGCAGTGTCAATAGAGGAGGACTCACGTCCGCATAGGGAGCTAAAGCTGAATGTCCGGTTCGGAACTTATAGTCCGGGTCGGACGGAAGTAAAGGAGGAGTAATCTCAACTCCTGACAAGGATTGTTTTTTCCTTGTGAAGGGCGGTGGATTTCAACCCAATCGCTACCAAGTGTTGTAGAGCGGGAATAAAAGAGGCTAGCATTTCACCCGCTTGGCTACGAAGGCCATATAAGCTTAAGGTTTGTAATGCTTTTGTAGTGATAAGGGAATCTTGTTGTGGCACTCCACAACAAGCGTCGTCACATCTGTCGTGAGAGAGACCGGATCGACGATAAGAACGGAGGTGGCAGAGCGTGGAACACAGTAGATGAGGCCATTCGCTGCCTGAGCACCGCCATACCACTTGTACTGGTCGGGAGGAAGGCCAGACAGGGTAGTGGTATCAGTAGCACTGGTTGCTGGATCAACAATAAGCACGGATCTTGCGAAATATGGAACGCCAAAAATGAGTCCATTCTCTGCAACCACACCGCTGAACCACTTAGCGCCACCGGAGCCAAGAGAGTGAATGCTTGTGGCAT